ATTCCACTTAAATAAATTAAAACATGGGATAAATTGGGGTCGGGGTGTTACATAAGCACTTTCCAATTACATTTATATATACAAGACCACCTATTGTTCTTACACCTCACACTAATATTCACCACCTCATGCTTATGGTGGTTTTGAGGACTCTAAAAAGCAACACGTCAAACTTAGGAGAAACTTTAGTAAGCAATAAAAAGCTTTTCTAAAAGCTTGTGTATAAATATTAAATAAGATTGAAGTGAATTGGCATAGTTAAAACCATATAATAGATTTGATAGGTTATAGCAAAAGCTTTCACGTGGCTTGCCATGCAACTTATATATGTATAGTATTAAAACTATTAATTTTAAATATTTAATTTCCATGAAATATTAGTATACATATTTAAAAATATGGGGTTTCACAGGGCCTTTCTCTTGGTTTTTTTTTATTATTTATTTTTCTTTTTAAATATTTTAAATATATTTATTTATTTCATGAGGGTCTTTCTCTTGCTTAGGATGAAGGGTTTCGACATATTTTGGTTGAATGTGATTCAAACTCTATCTTTGGTCTCTGTTGTTTTGGTTGAATGGATGATCAATCAACGATGAAGTTAAAATAGCACCACCCAAGGCAGCCGAGGTTCATCTTTTCCACCGCTCAAATTGTTAGAATGCTGCCGAAGATCATCATTTTCACTACCTATTTTGACCAATCACAAGTGAAAGCGTACAAGGAAAGCCATAAAACTTATTAGACGCATATCAGAAGCTCGGCCAAGATTGCCAATTCGGCCAAGAAAGATGTGAAGTCTATAAATAGAAGTAAAAGGAACAAGGGTCCAACACCAATCAACTGAAAAGCCCCTCAACGTGTAAAAAACCCTTTTTATATTTTTATCATGTAATTCCTAGTTTTCAATGTTTTTCTTTAGGATTTAGGATTTAGGGTAACTCTCGTTACAAAATCTCAAAACCCGTTCTAAGTTCGTGGGCAGTCCCCACTTCGATCGTTCATTTTATATATCAACAAGAGTTTCTTTGTTTATCATTTTCAAAGCTAATTCTTGAGCACCATCCAATCCATCTAGATACCTTTGGATATTTGCATTTATCGAGCGATCTCAACCCGCTGAGCTACCGAGCCTAATGCCACCATCAAGCCACCGAGATCAGTGACAATATCAAACCACACTCTCATTCTAAAAGTCTTGTAGTCAAGGCCTAGAACCTTATAGTCGAGAATTTGTTGCTTTATCGGCCACAATAGCTTGACAAGAAGTCAAGATCAATAGCACATCCATCACTCACTCGTACCCACGACAATTTCTGGCCACGGTACTGGCACGCCACACACACATCACTAAAGAATGACGTCTTTGTTACCTAGTCCACTCGACCGGCTTAATTATTTTATTCTGAATTAATTGACACGTGACGGAATTTCGGAGTTCAGCTGTAATATTACCCCCATTGAATCTGATTTTGTAGTCTAATCACTATACATTCTACATTATTCTCCCTTTTTCGTCAATAACACTCAAATATTTTCTATTGGTTCTTTTATATTTGAAAGAAGAAAAAAACACTTGCATCACTTTTTTGTTTTTTTGTTGAAAGTTTGTCTCTTTTCTATCATCACTATTTCTTCTTTTTTGTTGACATATCCCTTTACCTTCTCTTTATCATTGAGTAACTTTAAATATTGATATTGTGTGATGTTTCATCTTAGCGATAACTATATATATATATATATATATATAGTTTCGGTTGAGGGACACTCTTGTAGAGCCCACCTTACATTGTATTTCATTCATCTAAACAGTTTATTTTGTAGATATTCATTCGAAGACCATCTCTGCAAAAAATTACTTGAATCCGATATCATTTGACCACTCAATTAAATATTTGAAATTTTAGTACTGTCTTGAAGCGCCGTGTTCATTGATTTTGTATGACACAATTAGATGTCTAAATGGTTTCTGATTTGTCTAATTTTTGTAAGGATGCTCTATGAATGAATACCTAAAAAAATAGATGGTTTGAATCATTGGAAGAAAAAAAATTGTAGCATACCCTAAAAGGCATCCCTCAAATAAAATTATTTGAGGGATCCTTCAATAGAAGGGGACTATATATATATATATATATATAGTTATTTTCTCATCCGGATGTCCGTATGTTATTAACATGCTGATGTCATTGTAAATTGAGAGGAAAGCAGGGAGGGTAATAGAAAATACATGATGTCTGGACGTTCGTATAGGAGAATTTTTTTTGTATATATATTTGACTGTATTTGTATCAACTATTAAACAACTAACGACAAAGTATTTTCATTTTATATATTTTAAAAATACAATAATCTGCCTCTTGCACCCGAGTTCGATTGTCCTCACTTATCTAGTTTTAAATAGTTTATTATTGATCAATCCTTCAAAGTCAAGGCTCAACTATTAAACAACTAACAGTAAAGTAACAATTTTCATTTAACATATTTAAAAAATACAATAGTCTACCTCTTGCATTCGAGTTCGATTCTCCTTCCTAGTTTAAAATAATTTATTATTGATTGTATATTAGTTCATTTGTTCATATTGAAATTCACTCTAAGTTTCATTTATTTCTAACAACTAGATATTACAAATGCAACCCCATGGTGGGTCTGTGTTCAACTTGACAACCCCATAAAGCAATGGCCCAAATACTTTTGGGCCCTTCCACTATTGTCTAATCTTGATGAAGAACATATTAATTGCATTGCAGGAAGACTTGTATTTTCCTCGTCCTCTGTTGCAGGAAGTGTTCAGGGAGCATCTTAACAAGTTTGGGGAGCTTCTTCCAAAGCGATGGCCCTTCTCTAAGCTAAGGCAAAAAGGCTCTCAACACTGTCATGCACCATATGTTGACCGTTGATGGTTTTTAAAATTTCAACCTTTTTTGTTTTAATATTTTGACTGTTTTCTTTTATTTCTTATGTCAGTTACAATTATTTAATTTTCAGGTTTTATTTTTATATTGAATGCCTTAATTTTCTTGTTTATTGTAGTGGAGGTTACATGTCCTTGGATGCCTATATAAGGTCACTTCTCTTTCACATTTGACACACCACAATTTGATTTCTCTCTTCTCCTATTTTCCTACTTTTTCTATTTTCGATTATTATTTTTGGGCAATAGTTTTGTGATTTGGAGACATTTATCTGACTATGAACGTGCTCATAGCGGACCTTGAGCTTGTGTATAAGGGATCGTATCTTGAAGTCTTGTAGACCGTCAATACATGTACGTATGGAGGCTATAAAGGCTTTAGGACAATGTCTTTGATGTCAAGTACTGATGGTTCTGCAAGACTTCAAAATACGACCTCCAAGACAAAAACTCAAGATCCGCTATGAGCACGTTCATAATCGGATAAATGTCTCTAAGTCACAAAACCGTTGCCCAAAAATAATAGTCTAAAGTAGAGAAAGTATGAAAGTAGGAGACAAGAGAAGTCAAATTGTGGTGTGTGATAAGCAGGGGCGGAGGCAATTGGGGACCAGTGCAGTCACTGGCCCCCACTGAAATTTTATTTAAAAAAAAATAGTACTAGTATTAGGAGTCTGAAGCAATATGGATATGGGCCAAAGAGGATTTCAGCCAAAAAGTAGCGTGGTCTATTAGATTTTAATTAAATTACCTGCAGCAGTGGCGTGATCTACTAGATTTCAACGTGGGCCAGCCAAATATTCTAAAATTATACACTACCCATTCCTAAAAGGATTAGAATTATTAGTATTATTATATATTGCCTTCTTAAATCAATAAACATAAGCCTTTTTCTCTTTTCGTGGGTTAGAAACACGACCAGACCAGCCAGTTGCTTGTGAGTTTTTTTTTCTTCTCAAATTCTAATTATATTATCAAGCTTTTTTTTTCCTATTGATTTTAATGGGTCTTTCAATTTATGTGTAGATTACCAAAGGGAAAAGGCTTTGGAGATATTTGGTAAATCGTTATTCAACTCTAAGTATGTATTTGTCTATCCTTTGTAATTTTTCTTGTATAGTACGTAATTGTTTATCCTTTTAATGCAATTATGAACTTGTGTAGATCGAGTATTCTCTGCTATGAATATTGTGAAGAATCAGTTACGCAATCGAATGAGGGATTTGTGGATAAATGATTGCTTGGTTGCATATATTGAAAAATACATTTGTAATAGTATAGATGACGAGGTTGTTATGCAACGATTTCAAAATATGAAAACTCGTCAAGGACAATTATGATTGTAATGAATAGACAATATAGACAATATTATTTTTGATGTCTTGTGAGTTCGAAATTTTTATTATTTATATTTTGTGATAGGCCCCCAGACACATGAAATTCTAGCTTCGCCATTGGTGATAAGCATATATTTTATATATATTTTGTACCTCTTTTACCTATTTATTTATTTTTCTCCTTTATTTAAATTGTTTGTTTTAATATAGTTTGTGAGATTTGTGAAGGATTTGTGGAAATATGAGAAATTGGGCTAAAAAAGGGCAAGAAGATGAAGATTTCGTACAAATCTAGTAAAGAAGCCAAATCATTCCTTTTGTCACAAGGAGTGTTGTCAAAGTTCCTAGTTCAAGATGGGTCAAGTCTTTTCCAAGTTGAACAAGGAGAAATCAAGAAGACCCTAGATTAATAGGAATCCTATTTTTATAATAATTGTAATCATGCCTCAGATAGGTAGGATTTCTAGAAGTTCTATAAATAGGGAGCTTCGGCCATTGAGAGAAGAACCTTAAGCCATCAAATTCCTACGAACAGTGTGCTTCAAATGTGAAGAAGGAGTGGCCTTTTATAGGCATCCAAGAACATGTGACCTCTACCACATTAAACCAGAAAATTAAGGCAATAAATAGAAAATAAAAACTGAAAAATTAAACAATTGTAACTCCTATAATAAATAAAAGAAAACAGTTAAAGAATTAAAATAATATATAAAAATCAAAACGTTAAAATTTTAAAAACCTTTTAAATGTCAACACCATATTCACCATACGAGGATGAATATGGTTCAATGCTAAAGAAGGCTCAAGAGTTCATCAAGAACACACAGGTACTAAACCCAAAATCAACCTTTGTGAAGTAAATAAAGTTGTTTACTCTAAGTTTCTATAGCTACAACTACACATTCATAACTTCTAACTTCGGCTTGATTTCGGTTTGAAGATTAGGGAAGATTGCTCTGAAAATGAGAAATGGTATCGCCAAATTTCCAAGGGTGGATGGCCCTTCTCCACTCAAGACCAGGCTTGGCTTGTTTCGGATTGTAGTGCAGAAGGTTTGAAGGTAATCAATGCACCGTGCAGCAAAGGTTAACTTTTGATTAATTACCCAATGGAAAATGGCGATTTTCCTCAACAAGTATAAAGCCACATACATGTATTAAACAAAGTATTTTAGTAGAGGATAACAGTCTTGCCTCATTTTCAGTTTAGACCACACATTCAATTTAGGCAAGAATCAACCTGATTAATGGTCCGAATTTACAATTTTCAATAGAAGCCAAACACTTGTGGCGACATAATATTTACCATTTTAATATAGGGAGTTTCACTAAAACACCCAAAATGGAGGTTGAAATTATAAAAAAACTCAACACCCAAAACACTTTATAAACACACCCAAAACCCATCATTACACACACTCAAAACCCATTTATAAACACACCCAAAAGTTGACTTTGGGGTTGATTTTGGGTGTGTTTCTATGTTTAAATAGTGTTTGGGTTTTTTTTATAAATACATGTCTAGGATTGGGTTTATTTATAAATTTGTATTTAATATATACATTATTATATTGTTTAATTGATAAGTTGCCTAGAGAAATATCTCATATGACACTTGGAGCATATCGCAATTACGTATGAGTGCAATTGTAGCTACACAATAATTTTGTATGGTATGCAGCATAGTCCCTTTGGTGGGCACCATAAAATTAGTTTCACGATCAGAATGCCCTAATTAATTCTGTCATAGCATCGTCCAAGAAGTTAGCTTTACGAAACATGTGATAAAATTCAATGTGTTGGAAAGAAGTAGCTAGCTGACGAATATAACGAATAATATTACAAATCCTCTACAGAACATTAGGATTTGTCCAAGAAAGAATCAAGAAGAAGCTGACATTTGAGTCTCTCCTTCAACTATGATTTGAGAAAAACCTTCTTAAGAGCAATGAGGACATTATCAAAACCCAAATATTAACACCATGCAGGCGTCATTCTAAAATAAGGGCCTTATCTAAGGTCCTTAAATGAGGTCATATCTCTGAATTGTTGGATTAAAAGATCATATCTCTTAATAGTGAGGGCCTTATCTATAGAATTCTTGCACCACAAAGAATAAGCGTTTGAATTGTGTTCGGGATGGAACTGTTTCTGAAATGGGTTGGGTTGAAGACTGTGAACTGTGGGCTACGGTTATGAGTGCCTAGTTGGTTAGCTCTTATCCAACGGTTAAGAGATAGCCTTACCTAAGGGTCATATATAAAGCCCTCACTACAGAATGACTCTCATTACTTGTGTTTTTGTTGCTCAAATGAAACCAAAATAAGGATGTGAGGTAGAATTATTCCTAGCTAGGGATGGAGAGGTCATATAAGAACAAATAAGTTGATGTATTATGATTGATTAAGAAAAAAAAACACCCAGCTTTTGAAGGTGCACAAAGAAAAATTGTCAAAGCCGTAAGATGTAATAAATATATATATATATATATATTTTCCTATAATATGTTAAATATTAATTAGTAGTTAGAAAGGAATAGAGGATTTTGGCCAAATATATTTTGTTTAGAAGATCTAGTTAGAAGGGACTGGGATGTGTCCAAATAGTTCTTCAAATCTCAACAACCACACAGCACCAACTTTTCATGAACTTTCTTTTAGGAACTTTATCCTATCGAAAATAGCGGTAACATATTAAACTCACACACGGATAGTAGGATTCGAACCAAAATCTTTCTTGGAAAGAGTATTTACTCTAAACCACTACACTAGTGGGTCATTTGCATTACCTATAATTGAAAAAAGAATGAATATATTAATAACCAATACAATATTTTCAATAAACACTAATATGATCGCAGCGATGACAATCAATGTGGTCCTAATTTCTTTCTTCATTTAAAAAATTATGTTCAACAATGTGGTCCTTATATATACACACAATGACACACACATATACAGTACATGTATGGATGTCTTTGGATTGAAAATTCATGTGGGAAGTACACACAAGTCTAATTCTACAAGTATATTCTTTAGGGTTTAGCACTATTCAAGATAATATTATTCCAAATTAATTAAATTTGGGTTCTCGTGGGGATGGATATTAAGATGTCAAGTACCATAGGACAAAAAATTTAAAATAAAATAAAAGTCCAGGACCAAATTGATGGGGGGTAGTTTGGTAATCATGTCATGTGCAAAATATGTATAAGGACGTTACTGTGGCTCACAAATTCACAGTCACATTAAAGTTATATAGTTTTCTCCTAATCCAAATCGTAAGTGAAATAGCTAAGGAAACCTTCCCTCTCTTTCTTGTACGCTTTCCTCTGAAAGTTATCTGATGCTTATAAACCCTAGCTAGCCACCATATATTTCCTCTTAGATAGATATTTTTTTTTCTTTTTTTTTTTTTTTTTTTTTTTTTGGGCGGGGTTTGTAATGAATTATGTAATCTCCACTCACAAAATCACATTCCCTACTATAAGATATGATATCAGATTCTGATATGTTATAATAATACTATTGTTTCATGTCTGTTAGAAGGTAAAAGAATAATGTGGAGACTGAAGCTTTCAGAAGGCAAAGATCCATGGCTTACAAGTGTAAATAATCACATTGGAAGACAATATTGGGAGTTTGATCCAAATCTCGGAACACCAGAAGAGAGAGCTCAAGTGGGAAAAGCTCGTCTCGAGTTTCGCAAGAATCGTTTTCAATCCAAACATAGCTCTGATCTCCTAATGAGACTTCAGGTGAGGCAGCTCTCACTGTGCATGGTTTCTCTCATAAATATTTCATTTTTCTGATATATATGAAATGCCTTTAATTAATTTGGGTTAATTAACTAATTGTATGTGCATATATACATTTGAATACAAAGTTTGCAAAGGAGAAAGCATGTGAAATGAAGCGAGTACCAGCTCAGGTGAAAGTGAGAAGTGATGAAGAAGAAATAAGTGAGGAAGCAGTGGGGATCACACTGAGAAGGGCCTTGAGCTTTTACTCCACTCTGCAGGCTGAGGATGGTTTCTGGCCTGGTGACTATGGGGGACCTTTGTTTCTTCTACCTGGCTTGGTAAGATTAATTTCAATATATATATATTTTTTTTTATACAAACGAAATTGGGGTAGGAGAATCGAACCTAGGATCTCGGGTAGGGTAAATGCTCCCCTGTGATTAATTTCAATACTTAACCTATATCTGTTACTATGTGTATACAAATACCTTTTCATAATTTCCACTCCTATAATAAGACTAAGGTTGGGTTATACACATTGACCTTAATTACCATATATTCTCTTTCATTTTTTGGTTCAAAAGCCTTACCAACCATATAAACGAGGTGAAAAACTAACTACTCATGCAAAACCATTCACGTTGTTCTAAACTTCTAATAAAGTCAAATAAAATAATAAAAAGTAATACTATATGACGTGACACACGAGAAGTGACATGTGTAAATTATTAACTGATCATAATAATTGATGTAATAAGTTAGTCCGAATACATTAACAAATAATCTAAAGATGCATCCACTCTAACATTACTTCAAAAAAAAAAATTATTTCGGTAAGCTTCCCCGAAGAAAGATCCAAAACTCTGCAGCCTCACACTAAATTTATAGGAATATATGTTTAATTTTGAAGGATTTGCTAAATTTTCTGCGTGAATTCACTCTAGCATTTTAGAGCTTTGCTTACAGATGTATACCTCAAGTTACATAAGTACATATTTAGGCTCTCGATCGAGGGATAAAGTTATGAAAGTTGAAGGGATAATGCCATTATTCATCTTAAATTTATGAAAGTTCAAGGGATAAAGTTCCTTATAATATTAAACACTAATGTATAATGCCTCTGTAATTTCACGGAACATTCATTCAAACATAATATATTGTATAATTCCTTTTCATCACATATATGGTCCCCCTTTCCCTCTCTTTTAGTCGTTCAAACGGACTGTCGATACATTTAACGTCATAGTCATTTTCTTCATATAATATGATAATAAGTGTATGATGATAATGAAAGTATCCATTAAATGGATATTTTTTTAGTCTATTTGAACATACGAGTTCAAATCAATAAGCAAGACTTTCTTTTCTCCCCTTTAATAAAAACTTTTCATTGCTGTAACAATGATCCAATGCAATGGTCCCCCTTTCCCTCTTCTCCCCACTTCCCCTCCCTTTCTCTTGGTTTTCAAGAGATATATATATATATATATATATATATACCGGATGAATTCTATGTCGTAGTCATATTTGTTGGTTTTGTATATGATTTATATACATTAATCCCCATCAAATGTTTGTTTATATATACAATGTCCTACAATTAATAATATACAATTGTATAGAAAACAACTTTACATTAAAATCAAGCTGGCTCCCTTCATTATTGATGGTCCTATTTACCACCTCTCTTTTCCTTAATTCTTTATATTTTTATTTATTTATTTATAATCTGAGAACTTTTTGCCTGTCTCTTTAGAGGACTTCCAGCAGCAAAGGCTGGGCTCGGGCTGGGGGGTTTACCTCTTCTATTTTATTTGTTTTTGTTCCCTTTTTGGTGCTACAATAATACACTGCGTAAGTACGTAGCTGGCCAATATACCATATATCCCCCCTTCTCTCAATCCTTCTTCATTGTCCATAAGGAATCCCACAAAACATGGAAATCGAACAGGAAATCTAGGGTTTAGGGAATCCTTTGCAGTCCACAAGTACCCGAGAGAAACACAATTCAAAAATTAAAATAAAAAACGAAAGGAGAAAATATAATGTTAGTTTGTATGTATATATCTAACATTATATTTAGATATTGGGAAACACTGAACCTCGGATGCAGTAATAACTGCTTTTAACCACTTGAACTACAAGTCTCTTGTCAAGAAAAACTTCATTCGGTTATTAACAGTTAGGGTTTAGGGTATTGTAGTGATTGATAAAACCATCCACAACTATATGATACATACTATCATCTATTGTTGTTGTTAATTGTTCTTATACATTGTAGTGATTGATTTAGAATACCGTCATAGTGACATTCCGTGTTAGTGTGGGATAGCAATCATACAAGATGTCTCACTCTTATATCGCACAAATTAATTTAAGCAATGGGGTTTTTGTCCTAGGTTATTGGCTTATCTGTAACAGGGGCCCTTCATGCAATCTTGCCGCATGAGCATCAACAGGAGATCTGGCGCTATCTGTACAACCATCAGGTATATCAATTTCTTAATTTTCCGAATGCTACCCGTCATTTGAAATGATATATTTAATGAGATTAATTAACAGCTGATGACATGATCGACCAAAAAAAGTAGTAATTGATGTGTTTAATACTAGGCTGACTTTGGCCATTTATTTGGAACCAATCAAATTATCTTCTAGAGGTAATTGAATAAATTATATATGTGAACTAACAAATCCATTGGATATGGGTTGACTGACATAACCAATTAACCAAACCACCTAATTCTTCTGTCTTTGAATGGAAGTATTAATACCCACAATCCATTTTAATATTTATGGCTATCTTTTGGTAGTAGGGTTTTCTCATACGCACGCTCTTAAAGTGTTATAGGAGTTCGAACTTGAGACCACTGACTCGTTGACTACTACAAGTGTATTATTACTAATGTTTTTTTGGGTGCAACCTAATTGTAATGAATTGCAGAATATAGATGGAGGTTGGGGATTGCATATAGAAGGCCCCAGCACAATGTTCTGTACAGCTCTGTCCTATGTCACTTTGAGATTGCTTGGAGAGGAAATGGACGGTGGTGATGGCGCCATGGATAGGGCAAGAAAATGGATTCTTGATCGTGGTGGGGTTACCTTCATTCCATCATGGGGAAAGATGTGGCTTTCAGTAAGCACACTTTTATTAACAAATTAAGCTGCCATTGCCCTCCACTAATTACTGTGGTCCTAAGAGGTTTATGAAATTAGCCAAAACAAAAATACAAGTTTATTTGTTCATGGATTGATAAATTTTTTTGATTGTTTTGCCGCCATATGTTAATGCTGATCATCTTGCACGGTTTTAACTGTAGCTTAATTTGGAAATAAAATTGGTAGGTCCTTGGTGTCTACGAATGGAGTGGAAACAATCCATTGCCACCGGAGTTGTGGCTTTTACCTTACTCTCTCCCAATACACCCAGGTGTGTAGACGTATTAAAAGCTTTCTATTTTTCTTTTATACATACGATACATTAAAAGTGAGAAATCGAACATAAGATCTTGCGTTCAAAATGCCTGTATTTTGCATTGTTTTTTTCTTTTGTTTTCTTCCTCTTTGTTTATAACATATATAATGTGCAAGAATATTATCTATGAATGCATGTGATCGGAGAAAATTAACGAAGAATCTGCTAATTAATTATAGCTACAGAATGCAGACAAAAAGCTTAAGAAATTAAAAGTCAATCATGAAATGGATTAATGAATTAATTATGCATGATGATGGTGCAGGTCGAATGTGGTGTCACTGCAGGATGGTTTATCTGCCCATGTCATATTTATATGGGAAGAGATTTGTGGGTCCCATCAACGGCCTTGTTTTATCACTCAGAAGAGAGCTTTATATCTTTCCTTATCAACTGATTGACTGGGACCAAGCAAGAAATCTATGCGCTAAGGTGCTACGTATTCTTTCTAGCCTTTTAGTTCTTATTAATTTAAACAAATAAATAAAATAACATCTTATACATATAATATTAACTGCAAAAATATTATTTTAAAAAATTTCTTTTTGAATCAACTTAAGCAAATAAAGACCCTTGCCAGTTGTATTATATAAGGGTCCATTTGGATCGAGTGATTCCAAATTTAGGAATTTAGGTGACATTGTAAGGTTAAATTGGATATTTATATTACTATAGTCTGTATGTATGTCAAGATTTGAATAAAATAAAAAATTAAGAAAACAAAAATGGCTCATTGTATATAGTCACTTCAATATAAATAATTTAAATATTCTACATCTAGTTATTTCAAATACATACAATCTAATGTATCTAGTTTCTTTAGCAAATTTAACTTTGTTGTCAAATCCAATCCTTTAACGTCCATCTAAATAGAGCCTAAATTGTAAAGGACTCACTAGTCTAGTATAGTGGTTTGGAGCAAATAAGCTCTTCCTTCCTCTCCCAAAGGAAAGTCATGGGTTCGAGTTCTATAGCATTCGTATAATCTCGACTGTTTTTTTTAATACATCTCTCTCGACCGTTATGAGCACTCTTACCTTCATATGCCTCATCTATGGCAGAACGATCGATTTTAAGTTTTAATTAATTAAGAAAAATGGAAAACCAATTTAGGACCGCATGACATATTATGATATGTAGTTGAAAGCATGATGGAGTCTTGGGGACGCTGCAATGCAAGTAACCAATGAAGTGCAGGTCGAAGGACTAAAATACACTTACCAGAAAAATAAAAAGATTAAACTACAAATATGTAAAAAAGAAAGAGTCAACTGACAACAGGCAAGTCAAATTTGGTGGAAGGTTGTGAGGCCCACTCAAATATCAGATGGAGTCATAAGAATTCAAACAAGTTAGAATTGGGATGACTTTATTCTTCCTAGTTTATTAATCGAATCTGATCTCATGACATGATCATGTTTTTCATAATCATGTACATTTAAAATATAAGACATATACCAATAATAATTTAACTTTTTAAAGTAAATATAATTTAAAAAGTGCGTGGTTGTGATTAGTTTCATAAACTTTGGTTCAAATGACATTAAAAACAGTAGACAAAAATGTACGACCTAATTTGAAGTTTTGACGTAAGGAAGGGAAAAAAAAGGAAAAAGGAAAAGTGTGTTAGTGTTATTAGGCTAGGTCTAGAAATATTCTTGATCATTCTAATTAGATCATAGATTTGGGCCTCCCATTTTCCTTGTACTAATAGTTTGTTAATAAGGTTCGATTAGGGTTTGATAGCCCAACTGCTAATTAAACTTCTTTTATGGGTTTAGTTGCACCAATAATCTAATCCCAACCTTTAATTTATCAGTTGAAATCAATCAAATTATGACATTTGAACCTTGGTACTTTAAGCTTGATATGTTTTATAGTCTAATGATATCCAATCCGAATTGATTGGAAATCACAATTTCAGTTTCATTGAAGCCTGTTTTTCCTTTCCTGTTAACAGTCTAAATCCAATATAGAGAAACTTAACAAAGATAAACTAAAACAATCTTCCTTTTCTGAACAATTTGCATGCAGGAGGACTTGTATTATCCACATCCCATTTTGCAGGACATCTTGTGGGGGAGTCTTCAAAAGGTCGGGGAGCCTCTTCTCATGAAATGGCCATTCTCAAGGCTAAGGCAAAAGGCTCTCCGCACTGTAATGCAGCACATACACTATGAGGATGAAAACACTCAGTATATTTGCATTGGACCTGTCAATAAGGTTTGCTTAAAAAGAAAAATACAAGGAAAAAAAAGGATAAAATAGGCAAGAAAGAAAGCAGACTCTATCAATTTATTTTGGGTTATTTTGGAGATTAATTACCAGACCAAGTGTGTTTTTGCTTCATGATCAACAGGTACTAAACATGATTTGTTGTTGGTTGGAGGATCCAAATTCAAAAGCATACAAGAACCATCTTTCAAGAATCAAAGATTATCTTTGGGTTGCCGAAGATGGAATGAAAATGCAGGTCCTCAAATGAATAATTAATATTGTTTAATGATTAATCAATGATTACATAATTATATTTAAAGGATGTGTGAGACTAATTAAACATTATTTTGATGACATGTAGGGATACAATGGATCTCAGTTTTGGGATGTTGCTTTGGCTGTGCAAGCAATCCTTGCAACCAACCTTGTCAATGAATCTGGTTTTGTGCTTCAGAAGGCGCACAATTTCATAAAAAACACACAAGTATTTAACCTCAAACTTAATTAATCACTACCAAAACATAATATAATATAATTAAGATATGACATCCCCATTTAACTATAATCAACTGGGTTTTGGTGCGTGAATTAAGGTTAAGACAAACAGCTCTGGCAATCTTAGTTATTGGTACCGCCACATTTCGAAAGGTGGATGGCCGTTCTCTACTCCAGACAATGGTTGGCCTGTCTCAGATTGTACGGCAGAAGGTTTGAAGGTAATCCTTTGCCTTGTACCTCAATTACAACATATACTTGAGGGTTTTGAGTTGGCATAAAATAATATTGGAGAAACTGCATTTTCTGATTATATTAACTGACCACATAATGCAACACATGATGTGCATTAGGAGCTGGTTAAACGGTTTTCGGATTCAAGTGATTTCTTGCAAAGATGATCTTTGAGAGAATACTTCGAAAATAGATGGTTCGGAAATAGAATGTAGAATGAGCTCTACAAAAGTGTCCCTCAATAAGCTTATTTGAACATCCCTTGAAGTTCTATATATATAAACATAACATTAATTGATGTAAGAATAAAGCTATTTATATCATCTCAACTGACTATATATATCTAAGGAACAAACAGTTGATTTGTATAGAAAATATGAACATGGCAATATATAATGCAAGCTAATTTATTTGCAGATCCCTTATGATTGTCACCTTTGTTAGTTTGTAGCTTAAACAACTTTGAAAAACTTACACCAACTAATTACAGGCGGCACTCTTACTATCACTTATGCCGTCTGAAATTGTGGGAGAAGCCATGCAAGCGGATCAACTATATGATGCTGTAAATGTGATATTATCCCTACAGGTAAAAACTACTTTTAATTAGTATTTATATAGTTCATTAGAAGTTGATTCGATTAAGTATAATCACGGGACTTTGTTCAAGTTTTTAGGCCGCGAGTGTTGTTCTCTTGTTTGTCACACTGTCTGACATATGGATCATTGATCATGTTGATTCTTGTCTTAATGTATAGTTGAGATTCACTCATTATAAATATATGCTTGACAATATAAGTCTGACAAGAAAACATTATCAACGTTATAGAGTCATGCCTCCACGCGTGCGTTTAATAAGTTTCCAATAAATTTACTCTTTGACACAACAGAACAGTACTGGAGGATTTGCATCGTATGAACTCACAAGATCCTATGCCTGGTTGGAGGTGATGAAGCAATTCTGTCCTTTTCAATGGATATTTAGAGTACGTTAATTAACTTTTTTGAGAAGATCTGACACGCTTTTCAATCCCAGATGATCAATCCAGCTGAAACATTTGGAGACATCATTATTGATTATCAGTAAGATACAAAAATACTTTGTTTTCTGTCGAAAACAAATAAAATAGTGGCACAAAAGATCTTATGACATTTTATATCCTCATAAAAAAATGTAGGTACGTGGAATGCACATCAGCAGCAATTGAAGGCCTTAAATCATTCATGAAATTATATCCAGGACATAGGAGGAAAGAAATTGAAGCATGTATTGCAAAGGCAGTTAAATTCATCGAGAGCATACAACTACCTGATGGCTCATGGTAATTTGTTTCTCTTAGTGAAATATTAGAATGGTTAAATAAATATGACTAGATGTGATTTTTAATCTTAGTGAAATATTTGGTAGCCTAAAAACAACCTTGATTTGGATTATGTTTAATCCTACTAGGCTCAACGTCGTAGGATTATGAATCCCACCAAAAGGTTGGGATTAAGTTGGATCGGTGTTATCATCTTTAATCCAATGTGATCCTGCTACACCATGTAATATAATAGCATATTTCAGTTAAGCTAATACCTTAATCATGTATAGTACCAAACACATCACTCGATTAGTGTTATCTTCTCCAATAATGTAATCCAATGCAATCTAATTCTACCCCATACTCCAATCCAATCCAAATCAGCAAATATGACCTTATATCAATCAATTAATGTTGCAGGTATGGGTCTTGGGGAGTCTGCTACACCTATGGAACATGGTTTGGGATAAAGGGGTTAGTGGCTGGCGGTAAGACCTACCATACTAGCCATAGCATTAGAAGAGCATGTGATTTCTTACTGTCCAAACAACTTGGTTCGGGCGGCTGGGGAGAGAGCTACCTATCATGCCAAAACAAGGTAAGGATCAATAAATTTTGGGAATCCATATATGTTTTGGTAAAATTCTAATTATCTATGTTCATTTTCAACTCACACCATTGGGTTGATTTGTTGAGTTTAGGAGGTTTTTCTGTTTAGTTTGTGACTATTATAATTCAAGGAAGCAGAGGATGTATAGATGATTGTAGCTATAGAAGCGGCAATGTCCTCTTGTCAGACAATTTAGCATCTTATGTTAAGGGATTGTGACCTACCTAATAGTTTAGAAACACATTCTGACAACATAAGCTGCTAGACTATTCGACAATAGAATAGTTTCGATTAGATAATAACAGCATTTGCTGTTATATATTATGTCACCGGACTATCGGTCAAGAGCACATTTTGAATTGTACAATAGCAGCATTATGCTATTACATACATATTTGTAACGGTGTCTATTCTTCTGTGAGTGGACTAATAGGTATACACAAATCTCGAAGGGAACAAACCACACATAGTGAATACTGGATGGGCAATGTTGGGTCTGATTGAAGCAGGCCAGGTGTGTTGCAGTCTGTTTCTCCTACAAAACCTATGTCTAGAGAAATAGTAGATAACAATTTACTTGTTTTGTTTTATTTTACCATTTTTGACTGTTTAGGCTGAGAGGGATCCGATCCCCTTGCATCGTGCAGCAAAGCTGTTGATTATTCACAGATGGAAAATGGAGATTTCCCACAACAGGTACATTGACTATTAGTTTAGCGGTACTTCTCTTCCAAATCTCGAAAGATGGCTCAAATTCAAATCTCTATTATGCATAACACACTTTTCATCCTAAAATATTACTTTTTTTTTGGACAGCAAATCATGGGAGTCTTCAATAAAAATTGCATGATCATTATTCTGCCTACAGAAATATCTTTCCCATATGGGCGCTTGGAGAATATCACAATCGGGTACTGGCATTGCTACCTTATAAATGTATAAATCAAATTACCAGAAAATGAGTGTTTAATGCTCATGTACAAACAATCATGTGTTTTATTGGCTTTGTCGTTTCCTTTCTATGTAGACATTACGTTGGTTAATATGATGTACGTAAAATAAATGTTTTATATCCCAGTCCAAAAGAAAAATAATCCACCTTGCAGGGCAAGGTAAAACTATTCCATCTTGCAGAGGCAGGCAGACAGTTACAGAAGATAATAATACACTCTAAAAATCTGTTGATCGCATTTGAAAACTATAGTACAACCGAATTTTTACAGACGATGTGAAATCTTCACCATTTCCTAGACATCTGCAAATATATAACTCAACGTTTTCCCTGGAACTGGGTCTCCATGGAAATAATAACTCATCGTCTTCCCTGGAACTGAGTCTCCATGGAAATAAACAATTTCAGTTGAAGAAGTTTGCGACTCTCAAGTCCCGACTCATTATCAGTCCTGGCTTCGATTAACAATTGCCAAGACAGTTGATCAAATGAAAAAGCAAGCATCAACTCTGGCCAACTTGAGAATGCAACAGAAATATTATCTATTACACGGAACCGTTCCTAAGCATGATACAAAATTGGGGATGGATATGTAGAAAATCAGAAATACATGACAAAATTGCAGGGCACTCAAAACCGTGAGTTACTAAGAAAAGCTACCACACAACTAGTGCTCTGAAACAAATTTTCTACTTTCTGCCATGTTTTGCTTTGAATATCTAGGAGCTTTCTTGCCTTATCCTGCAGTCTTGATTGGCACCGAATTGTTTCGCCATGGATCTGTCAAGGAAGAAAACAATGGAAAAAGAAAGAGGTTAAACAAGGAGTTGAGGGCCACTGAAGACCAACTGGAAACTTGCAAATTTAAGGATTTTACTCTTGATTCATAAATTTGATAAAAGTTCACTCATGCCAGTCACTTTTATAAAACATGCCAGTTCGAAAATTAAGAGTTCTTGCTTCTAGGTCTGTGATATTGGAATTTTGTCAAAACTCCGTTGATAGCGAAAAAATATACAAGAAAGGAGAAGTCTGTACCTTCAGAAACACCTTGATGACAGCTTGTACAAAGTCAAAATTGTTTCTGCATGAAGTCTCGTGTATAAAATAATCAAGAAGCAGTTCGATTGAAAATAATTCTGGCCTCTTTTCAGGTTCTTGCTCATCATCATCTACAATTTGAAGCATCCGAAGTTCCATATCCAGTGTTGATGGAGATAAACTTTTGATATAATCAGTAAATGCTGAAACTGCAAAAAATACACAATTTAAAGACCATCATGTCTTTGCACAGATCTTACTGCAATCAAGAAGGAAACCTTTCAACTGAATCACAAATGAAAACTAAAAGATAAGATATTTACAATTCTTCATTTCTGCAGACGAGTGAAGAAGTTGCACAAATTGCGATGGTGCCAGACCAGACTTTATTCTAGTGTCTTCTACTTCATCACCTTTGGCTTCCTCTTCCGCTGACCCACTGGGTTTAAATAATATATCTCCAGAAAGAGAAGGGACTGAAGGCAAAAAGAAAGGAGCCCTTTCGGGTTTTTTTGGCGGTTCAATTGGTTTATTTCGTTCCTGGACATTGCAGAGATGCAACATAATTTACTGATCAATCACTAAAAAATGTAAAGGGCAAAAGGACAACCATAATTCACAAATGAGGTCAAAAAGTCTGAAACCAATCAATAACCAGCAGTAGAAAATACCTTTATGATGTCTAAATTGATTAAGCTTTGCCACTGGCTTTTAGGTAATAATGAGAGAGTAACAAGATCAGGAATTTGCAGGTCACGAGTTGTAAAAGCTGAAGCATCTTTAGATTGTGGATTGTCCACAATAGGCTCATCAAAGTCCTCATCTTGAGAACCTTTTGTCGAAGAGACAGATGGTAACTTAACACTCACAACTTCCTTTCCACTTGCATAAGAATCAACCTTTGAAGCTCCAGAAAACATTGATTGATTTACCCTGTTAAGGTAGCCAGGTTTGGAATTTTTTGATAAATGAATATCCCGGTCAAAAATGAGGAAAACAAATAAGAAATGATACTGTATTAAAACTACCATCGATTGCATGCTAAATCATTCACTGTTAACATAATTAAAAAATTTAAGGTTCACTTGGTTGCTCTGCTAAAACATGATGCATTTGGTCTAGGCAAAAGGCTAAGGTTCTATGGGGTTGTAGTGACTTGGCTGTAATCTGGGTAATTTAGATGAGAGGCATGGGAGGGTCTTCGAAGATTATAGAGGTGTAGGGGTGGAGAAACACTGGGAGAGAGAGGTTTTCGTCGTCATTGTGGCTTCTGTTTCGACAAAATTTAAAAGATTTGTTTCTACTGTAATGTTGAAGTGGAGGGCAGCTGTAGGCTGAGTATTCATTAGAACTGTTTTTCCGACTCTATATACAATCACATTTATCAACTTCAACCTCCCAACAAAAATTCACTAGCTCTTTTGGGGTCAATAGATATGAAGACTTACCAAAGATAGACCCCATTTTGATCAACATGTGCAGTCGCTAGAACATCCATATTTGGTGACAGAGACAATGCTGTTATAGACACATCAACATGCAATGCATCTATTTGTCTTGCTAAAATAACATCCCAAACTCGAAGACTACCATCCATACTGGATGACAAAAGCCATTTTCCATCCTCACTAAAACACATGTCTGTTACACGATCCGTATGGCCTTCAAATTTACGAACAATTCTTGATGCCACAACATCAAACAAGCGGATGATTAAGTCATCAGCCACAACAGCCAAAAGACCTGAAATTTTTTTGAATTGATCACAATATTATCCAAGGCATTTATGATACCAAAAAGCTGAACAAAACACGTTAATATGACAAAAGAATATCAAACACTAGTTACCGTTCAAACGATTGTATACAATCTTGACAACAGAACACCCAACTTCCCATCTAGATTTTACGTCACGTCCCTTGAAATTCCAAACCTGCAGGTCAAAACATGTGACGAATGAAACATTCAACACATTCAGCAAATTTATTTCTTCCATTTATTTGGGAATAGCTTAGTTGAGCTGGAGCAAATTTCTTCACTGTGCTGAGCCTTACAGATCAAGATGAAAATATATACAAGAGAAAAACGTATCTTAGTGCAAACTGTAATATCTCTAAACATACAAGCAAACAAGGTTTAGGGCAGCCCCACCACCATCAGCCTCATAAACCATGTAAATCCCCACCCTTCAGCACCACAGACCTTGTATTCCACTTTATGAGGCATATGAGCAAATCCGACAGTAAGGTAGAGCGTAATGTTTTGAAATAAGAAATACAAACTGACCTTTATGTCTCCATGATATCCTGCACTTATCATTAGAGTATTTGTTGAATCACAAGCAATTCCAACCACTTCCCCATCATGGGCAAAGCTTCTTCTTGCTGACGTGTCTACATAACTGCCTCGGCTCATTCCTGACTGAAGGTTGAAGCGCTCAATCCAACCATCTGCTGTCCCCAGAATGGCGAAATTGCCACATGCACTGATGGCACAGGCCTACCACCAACAAAGACAACCATTCATTAATATTGTACTGTTTGAAAAGGATGGTGTACTACACAAGTCTTTAAGGTTGCACATCAAATAGTCATCAGAACTGGGTCTTTTTGTCAGGCTACTGTTATCTCATAGATTGAAAATCATCAGGAATCTTGTAAAATATTAAACCTTGTAAAAATGGATGTTATAAATCTTGTAAAATATTGAGCACAAGGGTCACAAAAAATGAGCAGTATTGAAATAGATTGAAATTCTAACCTTCACAGGACTGGGATTTTCAGGTCTTGGCTTCAGAATATGCTCACCAAGAACAAAGTTTTGAAGTCGCCACACATATGCCTGTGCAGTATCCATATGGCATGTAACCACATTGCACCAATCTCGCTCTCTTATTTCAGCTGAAATAATTTTTTGTATAAAAATTCAGAAGATTCAACAAATCTTATAGATCAAAGAGTATAACAGGTCATTGATGCAATTTAAGAAAATGCCAAAATGAGAAAGGAGCCAACTCTGAAACTGATTTCTCAAATTGAATAGGATTTAACACCAGTCCTAGCGACTTTAGCTATGCTAAATCTATGGTTTTGATATTTAAACTTCAGCATCAATTTTGTTGAGGTCGAAGTCAAACCAAATTTCATTATATTGAAATATAATTTTCACTGGTAAATTTGTGTCAGATAAGTGTTGTTTCAGTACTTTTTGGATTTCTTCTAGCATTTCAGTTTACTTTTTGTCAGAAGAAGTCTTATTAAAATGAACACCAGTAAACATAAAATTACACGTACAAAAGGACCTTACCACAATCAAAAGCTATCACAGGCTTCAGTTTTATCTCTTCTTCCTAGAAGGTGAGGAAAACAGAAATTAAATAGTTAATCCATCTGCATACTGAAATAGCACTATTTGTCAATTGAAGATTGGCATGAAAAAATAAATAAATAAATATATATATATATATAACTATCATGGACATTTCTATAAAAGTCTAGCCACGGTACATGGCTGTGCATAGTGTGGATACTTCACTAATCCTAGGAAACAGACTAGCTTAGGGTACAGTAAATACCCGAGGTCGATAAAAAATTTACACATTACACTCAACACACAGAGTATCCCCATCACTTAACTATGACATGAGAAGGTTGAGACTTGAGACACTTCTGAAGGTGTAAAATATTTGGAACAGAGAGGGAGGGGAAAAGGAACTAAAT